GAAAATGCTTGGTTATTTGTGGTGGAATTTGGTGAATCCTATTTTCTCCATGCTTGGCTCCTTTTCTTTTTTTTTTATCCCAACACTAACTGATGTTAAAACTACCATCCTTCTCCTCTGTCGATTGTGACGTTATTAAATCGCTCTCATTAGATTATTACCTCCGCTCCTCCCAACCCTGGCCTTGCTTTGTCGCACGTGGAACAAATTATTGAGGCGCTGTTTGAAGTTTAATTAGGGTTATTGATTGCTCATCATTCAACACCGGCTACTTGTCGTCACACATGCCGTCGGAATACTGTTGTAGTCAAACCAGTTATTCTTCTACACACACACACACACATCTATCTATTATCTATCCTGTGCAACGGCAGCGACGAAGATTCTTAGTCTAATTTTTTTTTATATCTTGTTTTGCGCACTTTGCAGTAAATGGAAACATTCATGTGGAGAATGTCATGTTGTTGATGGCAAAGGCCACTCTTTTGATTACCAACCGCTGTCGTGCATGGAAGCAGAACATATGGAGGCAGTGCAAAAATTCTTCTCAGACCCATCAACAACAAGTGAGAAAACTGCCAAGCCCCACTGACACCAGGAGTGTCAGTGGGGCATGTGAAGGATGATGAAAGGAATTATGAGGAGTTTGGGTTCTGTTACAGCCCATTTGACAGATTCCTGCCAGGGTGTGTGGAGCTGTGGGCACATTATGGACATTGGGAAGATGTACTCGTTTGAGTCCAACAAGTTTATTACAGGATTTCTTTGGCAAACATTCATGAGGCTGGATGAGTATCCTAAATTCATGTTTTATGACAAAGCATGTGTTTTTGTCAGGACTTTGAAAAACGGTGCTCAGCAAAACAAGCTGCTCCACAAGTAAGGATGTATTTGCTGTGATAGAATCTAACTTCTGTGCTTAGGATGCTATACCAAAAACTCATCTGGGTTGTTGACAGATTTCACTTCAGAAACCATAGTCATCGAGACATGGAGAATTGTGACGCAAGGTCCTTTGCTAGGCTATACCAAGGAAACAAGCCTTTATTCAACACATCAGCAGCAGAACAGTGTGCTGGATAATTCCCTCTTCAGGCAGACTTTTTTTTGTTCAGCATGTCGGACATGAGAAATGAGCATCTTAGCAAATGTTAGTAGCCAGAGGGTTATTTGAAAAATTGATAAATTTTATGATTAATTTTAACTATAATATCACAAAATTCTGAAAAATTAATTTTGTATTTTTGCAATTTTTTTGAATTTTTTCCGATGGTTTGTAATTTTTAGGATTTTTTTTTAAGTGTTTTGCAGTTGACAGTTATTTTCATAGTCCTAATAGGACTGAGTAGCTCCTAATAGGACAATGCTCAAATTGCAGGAAAAAGTTGTTTCCTCCTAATGAGAAGTGATTAGGACTCCATTAGGAGGTGGCTAGGAGCACCAATCGCCCTATTGGCCATTCCGACCAGAGCCCGATTCGGGGTTGCTCCTATTCGGACCCAAATCGGGCCCTAGTCCAGCTCTGAATCGTTTCCCAAATCGGAGTCCAAATTGGGGTACGAATCGCGCGTGCCACTCGCTATAGTACGTGGTCATCATCAGCGCCATTGTCTGCGTCACTTATAGTACGTGAAGAAAGGATCCACTTACCTACCACATAGCGGTCTTTCCGATCCAGCACATACGGAATTTCAACAAGCAGTTTGTCCACTTGTCCGCAATAAGAGTGACTCTGATTTTGGCTTTCAGCGGTTCTGGTGTTGGGCTTTCGTCAGCCTCATCTGCTGAATGTTGTTAGCCAAACAATAAAAACCAATCTCTCACCATCATGGTAATCCAAAGGAAACGACTGCGTATCACAAATGCAGCTGCAGCAAGAGCCAGACAACTGCGGCTGGCTTGACACTTGTTCGTCTTCGTCTTCATCATCCAAGTCTTCCTCATTGTTGCTAGCGTCCTGTCTATCGGACTCACTTGAGGATGCAGCGCATTATGCGTCACTTTCAGCTTTGTTTCCCCAATTGACAATGGTAATGTTGTCAATATCCACACGTTGGAATAGCTGAATAAAGTTTTGTTTATGCAGCTCATTGCCTTGCTGAGTGACATTAGTCAGGGCAGCGGGCCAGGGCGTCTGGTTTCCTGAAAGTCGGCCAGGGCAATGAAAAATTTTAAAACTAAATTCCAACAACTTTGTCATCCACATATATTGGTGAAGGGTAAGTTGCTGAACGGCAGTAAAGTTTTGCTGGCAATTGTGATCAGAGAAATCAATGATTGGATCCAAGGGTTCAACAGCAATGAGATAATGTCTCCAAGCCGCAAACACGTCTACACTGGCAAGCAGTTCCTTATCGTGAGTATCGCAATTGATTTTCACTGGGATTAACTTGCAGGAATGAAAGGCAACAGGTTGTTACCTTCCATCAGAACCGAACGCGCCCAGTGCAAAATCTGAGCAATCAGTTTCCACATACACAGTACAACTGGGATCAAAGTGAATCCGGCCGGAGTGGTGGTAAAGGCTAGCCAAAGCCGCGGCCTCGGACCAAGGAAATGGTCCAATTTTGGCCTCCTTACATGTTAGGCTGGTAAGCAGTAACACAATGTTGGGGTAGCCGGTGATAAATTGGTGGTAAAAATTAGCAAAGCCCAAAAAAATTTGCACATCCTTGATAGACTGCGGTACCGGCCTACTGGAAATGGTAGTGACCTTGGCGGGATCCATTTTGACATTATCAGCAGAGAAGATGTGACCCAGAAATTCCGTAGAACTGGTATGGAAAGCGCATTTGGCAGGGTTAACTACCAAGTTGTGTTTTTGCCATCTCATAAAATTAGAATGTCATCCAAATAAACGATGACAAATACGCCCAGTAAGCCCAAAAAAATGTCATTCATGAAGTACTGGAAGGCAGCTGGAGCGTTGGTTAGACTAAAACTAACCACATTATAAGGAAATGGTCAAACTTGCAGCAAAATGTAGTTTTCCATTTGTCACCAGAGCCTATTCTTAGTAAGTGGTACGCGTCTGGGAGATCCAAGTGAGTGAAAATTTTAGCCTTGGATAATTTTCCTGCGAGATCTGTGAACAGTGGAAGTGGAAACTTGTTCTTGACTACAATGTTGCTGATGGCACAATAGTCAATACAGAGGCGGAAGGCCGCGACCGGGGAGGAAGCAAAGAATGTTTATCGAGGAAGAAGCACGTGCAGGAGGCGTCCTCCGCATTCAAGTTAGAATACTGAAAGTTCTCCCTTATCCAGAAAGCAAAGTGACTGAGTGTATGTCTCTAGTCCAAATTCATACAAGTGTTTGTGGGACCGGCATTCTGGATGTGATTGTCCTGCCAAAGAAATTTGCAGATCTTGAATTAGAACTGAACAAACCAACATATTGTCCCAAGGACAGCACCACATATTGCTTTAGACTTAAGAGTTCTTGAAGGCACAAGGGTTCGTGAAGGCACGAGGGCTTGACTAATAACGGCTTGAGATCACGAGAGACGGAAACAAAGAGTTACAAAGCTGTAAAACTAACACAGAATGTATTGAAACTGAACTAAAACTCAGGGCAGAAACCTTGCTAAGCAAGTTCTGGAATTACAAATAATAAAAGTTCCAAACAAAAATCAAACTGAAAATCACACTGAAAATGTGATAGCAAGTGTGATAGCACAATAATATGTGAAATCAAGGATGATATCACAAAACTGAAACTGAAAAATCAAAGATGACCAATCCAAAAATAGAAACTTAAAGTAAAATGTTACTAGCAAAATTAAACCTGGGTTTCCATTGTGCGAGTCGCAGGTAATAACCAGTTAGCTAAGAAACTATAGAGAAATATCCCCATCAGGTGGGTGATTTCTAACATTAGTGCAACACAGGTTTCTTGCAAGAAGAGCAATACTATATCAATACCTGCAAGACTAGAAATTCCAGTAACAGCTGCTGACGGCAATCAAACTGCCATCACTGACACTACAACGTTTGTTGTTGCCATTGGAGCAGTCACAGATTGATGGGCTGATTGAAGCTTCAACTTACCGCAGTAAACTTCATTTGAATGGCATTTGGAGTCACTGATTGAAAACTTGGGTCAAGTGTTAGACGACATTTTTTCCAATCTTTTTGTGCTCCGTCAGGATAGCAACTTTGAATAAAACAGAGAACTTCATTCCAATGTGAATTTGATACATCCGCAAGCTTACGCATTGGTGTTGGTGTTGTCTTGGAAGAATGATGAGCATTTTCTGGCCCAGGGCGGTTGGTTCCAGGTTGCATCGGAGGTAAGAAGTCCATTGAGCTGAGTTGCGTGTCTAGAAGAATTTAAATATGCTACAAAGGCAACATTCCTGGAAATTGTGTGATTTGGAATAATTCAGAGGTTGGATTCCAGTCAGACAAGCCAGAATTCAAAAAACTAGTTGAAGTTGCACCATTGGCTTCTTTTTGGCCATCAAGCCAAACTTTGGGACACCAAACAAAGTAGGGGGTGTCAAATACTTGTGTCGGACAAACAGCTCTATTACTTTTTGGAGTTTGATTTGACACTGCCTTTGAAGACCTTTCCCAGTTATCCATCCAAAGTGGTAAACAACAACATGGCAGAAATTTCCCAATCATATGAAAAGGTAAATTGAGTCAAGATGCGCACTGCAACAAGGTAAGCATCAGCCCGGCTAGCTCAATCGGTAGAGCGTAAGACTCTTAATCTTAAGGTTGTGGGTTCGACCCCCACGTCGGGCTAATTTATTATGCCATTATGCCTCTGATGGAGGATGCTTTAGAAGTAGATGCGCAAAATGAATGCCCTTTCTTTTTGATTTCAAGCAAAAAGCACAATATTCACATGAATGCTGATGCTTTTTATTGTAAAAAACAGCATCAGTATCAAACTTATGGAGCGTGACCACCTCTAGTCTCTGGTAAATCTCTCCAAACCTGAGATATGGTTGCAAAGATATCTTGATCCTTTCAAGAAACGAAGTTCAGCAAGGGGATCTAGCTCAAATGGTAGAGCGCTCGCTTAGCATGCGAGAGGCACTGGGATCAATGCCCAGGTTCTCCAAATACCGTTTTCCCCAGCTACACTAAATGAAGGTTTCTTCATAAAAAAAATATCCGTGTGCGAGATTGCAAATGTGAATTCTTTCCGTCAGTGCAGTACTTTTTGGTATAAATGCGAGTACTTTTTCGTCCCAAAAAAATGTACTCCAACCTACCACCAACCCACCACTCACGCAAAGCACCATGAAACGTATCTCTAGCCGGAGGGCTATATTTGGAACAGCCAAAAAGTATAAAGGAGAAGGTTTCTTACCCCTTCTTCCAAACTTGAATCACACACATATGGTTGATCAAATCCCTATTGTTATTGACAGCGACGACGACGAAATGAGCACGGCAACTGACAGTTCCAAGCACTCTGCGCCAGTTCGATTTCCGTATGTCTTTCCCTTTACTGGGATGTCACTGGTCCAGCTGAAGAAAGCGTGTCGAGCAAGTGGCCTCAATGTAACTGGCACCCGCGATGGCCTACAGCGCCGATTGGCCAACTACTTGGAATATTGGGTTGAGCGCTGCCATCACTGGGAAGCTCCGTCGCGCGAGGAGCACAAGCGTCTTATTGTCGTTATTGATCCTGGAGTGGTAAATCTTGGATTTACCATTCTTCTCGTGCCATCCCTGAGGACGCTATGCAACGAGCCGGTATTTCGAGTGGTGTCCAGTGGCTCGCTTTCGGTTGGACAGATGGACGATTCGATGGGAGTACGTGCCGAAGCTGTCCATGCTGCGATTCGTCAGATTCTGGATCTTATCCCGCCCACTCTACGAGGCATGCACTTGAATTGTATTGTAGAAGAGCAGTTCTGGTCCTTTAAACGACATTCCAAGGCCCTTGTGGCCAATTACGCAATTGGCTGTATGATTGTCGCAAGCTTCAAGGCCAATACAGTTGACCCAAAGAAAGTTTCATTACTCTGGGGTCTCTCTGGAACAGTTTCGGGTCTTCCTGTAAGTTTATTCTAATTTGACTGCTCTTGTCTTTACAATCCTTTACAATCTGCTTTTTAGAAACAGGCAACGCAAGCTCAGAAGAATGCTCGAGCTGATAAAATGAGGCGATTAAAAAAGAAAAACTGTAAGGAAAAGGTGGCAGATATTGTGCGGCAGGGCCGTCTTCTTGTACATGACCAAAGAATTCTGGAAAGCCATGACGTCTGTGATTCCATTATCATTGGAATGTCATGGTTCACATGGACTCAAGCAATTATGAGATACGAGAAAGAACTCTTTATTGAATATTATGATTGAGTTGTGTGTTCATTTAATTTTGCTTCAATAAATAAAGTTTCAAGGCTCTTTTGGATAAACAACGAACTCGACCATCACACACACCACAGCTGCGAATATTTTTGTAAGCATCCTTTCGCCCCTGTATATATCATGTACTTACTGATATGTCAATGTAGGCCATTCACAGAGCGCGACCAAGAAGCAAGCGAGGCACAGTGCATCTACGAGGAGAAGGGGGTTGTAATCTTTGAACCCACCTATGCCCGAGTAGATGCAGTTTGCAGCGCGTCACTCATTCTGTTCTCTGCGAGGAAAGGGGGCTGTATTCTTTGAAGTTTGAGCCCACCTGGTCCTGACAGATGGTTTGAAAGTGGTTTGAAAGCGAAAGGCCATCGAATCAGTCTCGAATCAAGAGCAATTTTCTAGGATATCACTTAAGTCTACTTCAATCATCAGCTTTGCGAGTTGGTCCAGTGGAATATCATTTCATTCAGATGACAGAATTATCAACGCCTGCGACAGAAACAACGGTGACTGCTACCTGCCATCAGATGTAATAGGGTAAGCCAATAAACAAATCACATTCGCAGTGACTCAAATGTTTTTTATGGCGGTTGATAGTCCTTGAAATTCGCACAATGCAGGCTTCCACCCTGCAATACAGTTAAAAAACGCCGAAGTCTGGCACTAAAATAGCTTAGAAGCGCTCTATGAAATGTAGCGGAACAAGCGCTTGTGAAGAATGGTCATAATTTTTGGTTTCGACATTAATCGCGGAAACAATCCGGGCACCCAGGCGCCAGGAGCCAATTTGGAAAGCCACGTATTATTTATTCCAAGATACAGCATGATGAGGCGGAACAAGGGGGAGACAAGCGAAAAACTTTCGAGCAACGTTAACAATAAATAACGAATCTGGTTTCTCCAACAGTAACCGCGTGTTGGCATTGTTTTAACTTTGTTTTAGTTGAGTTGAATTGCTTGAACAGTACTTTGATGTAAAAAGGATGGCAGGGATCGAACCGATGACTCTTGTCATAAAATAAGAGCGCGTAATCCAACTGAGCTATGACTTCCCACTAGTTTGTGACAAAATAAAATTTATAATGATAATTTCACAGTATTTACGGATTGGGGGCTGAAACAAAATGTCGCAGGTGTGAGCTAGCATTTGTAAGACTCAAAGAGCGTAGAGGACAGTTGATTTGAACGCTGGCTTTTATTTTGAATTTGTAAAGTACTGGATTTCATACCAAAAGTATTGGAGTCCAGTACTTTTAAAAAATTATGAGGTATTTCCTGCGGTATAAAGGGGGGTCCGAATGTATTGAGTCCAGTACTCCCCGTATAAAGGGCCAAAGTACCAAGTTTCCTCTTGCCAATCGGCTCTTTGGGTCATGGAGAAGGTCTGTACAAAAAATGGGGTCTTTATTGGTGTTGGCGGTGCGGTGCCGCCCTTCCGACTCTTTCCCCCTTTGTTCTTTTTTTGGACTTTGAAAATTTTCATGGTCCCCCCCTCTATACCTATAGTACTGTATTGGTCTTGGGTATTTTTTAATTTCAAGTAGATTTTCTCTGGACCGACATTTTTCCAGTTGTGGAAAAACAGTTGCGTTACCTCCGACGACCCGGGTTCGAACCGGGGACCTCCTGATTACAGTGCGATTACAGTCAGATGCTCTTCCAACTGAGCTATCATCGGTCTGGACATCAATCTATTTAAATTGTTTAGAGCTTAACATCGCTCAAGTTACCAACACATTGAATGCAAATTGGATTGCAAACTCAACCTTGTTCGGTTTTGCATTCTGGTTGTTTTTCCCCATGGCACTCTGTATTCACTATCACACTTCACTGGCAGCCCCACAATGTCCCCAGTATCACTGTTGTCATTTCTACTGGGTGACAGACATACAAGTAATTTGTCCCTCTTACAGCTTCCAGTTCCCATGGTTCTGAGCTCTTTTTGTATTGCACAGGATTGAGACATAGCTTTTGCCCCACATAGCAAAATTTGCCCTGGAAAAAAGACCAATAAAAGCTACCAGTGGCAGACACCAGCTAGATACCCTCTCTGGCCTAAACAGTTAACGAAAATGAGTTGATGTATTTCAGCTTGTGAACCTTACGAGTCGGGTGGCAAGTCACTTTTTATCAAGACCCTGATAAGAGGAATGTAGACGTCTAAGGAAGTGATGCGGAAACTCCTAGAAGATGATGACAATGACTCAGATCCTGATATTTGGGACAAATCATTGAATGAAGGAGAGGGAGATAAAGAGAAAAGGAGACCAACAATAGATTGGGATCTGATGAATAAAAATGAAGAGAAACCTGATAAAATAAATACCATTCTATAGACCCCAAAGTTTATTCCTGGAGAACTTTTTCTTCGGCTGGGCTCAGTGGATAAATTTTCCCAGCCAGTGGTAATTTTGCCAAAGTTCCATCTTCATTCTTAACAATCTCAATAGGCAAGTCGTAAGGGCGATGAGGTGGAAGCGGGCGAGGAGTCTCAGACTTGGGCGCAAACATGTCCGAGTACTGCTTGTAGCGTAAAGGCACTCCTCTATTGTCAGAATCAATAGCAGACTCCTGCTAGTCCTTTGTATTAATCACAGCAGAAATTGACATGGTGGGAGTATCATCATATCATCAACACACTGTCAGTGAGAAATGCTAGAGACATACGCTTAGTCACTTTGCTTCTTTGCAGTGCAGGTTGCAAATCCAGAGAAATTAGGTCTTAATAGATAGAGGTTCGCAGATATTTGGGGTTTTGACAAAATCCTTCAAAACCGTTGGATATTGCAAAATCCTGGGTTTTGGTGGTTTTGTCGCAGATATTCAGCTGGGTTTTGGAATATCCTCCAAAACCTGGATAATAAAAAACTATACCAGATATTGATTGGATTTTGCAATACCCACACGTAAAAGCAATCTCCTGGGTCGGCGCAGGAGATTTGATAGATTTTGTGTTTTTTGAGTTAAAAACACCTGTCCAAAAAACAACTGATGTCAGCAATACATTCCTTTTGATGGAGCATCTTCTGGCACTTATTCCAGTGAGTGTTTTTTTCAGCAACCCTTTTCGAACTTGGTTCAAAATCAGTAGAACCCCCACAACATCAGTAACAAAGCTCACAAGCTCGGCAATGGCAACCCATGCTGGTGTTACAATTGGAAAAGACCTTTTTCCACAGATTGTCAACAATTGCAACAAGCTCTTTTGACGCCTCTGTAGTCCACCAAAGCAAAAACCTTGTGGGGCAGTGCTTCCTCAACGGCACTAAGTTCTTTCTCTTCTTTGATCCTTTAGGTGGTTTTTTTGAGGCTTACTTTAATTAGGGTCTTTGGACAAATTTATATAAACTTAATTCATAAAAGTCTTATCAAAATCCCATGACTTATCCCACCAACTCAAAACCCCCCTGGACAAATAAAACCCATGCTGGGTAAAAAACAAAACGCAATACCCCATCAAAACCCTGGAATATCTGCGATCCTCTAATGAGGTTTCAACACCTGAAAGCATAACTGGAATTTCAAAGGGTTTTATTTTAAAATTCTATAAAATTGCAAGAAACTAGCTTTTTTCTTTTGATTGCCAGAAAATATTCCAAAGAAACTCTGATGAGCTATTTTTACCTGGCATATGTCATATATCCATGGCTCATCTGGCCTTGAGCTGTTTCTGCTATTATGAATCTTGATTAATGAACAGAAAACCTAAACAGAAGCACCAACAGCAATGCTGACAGATGACTGCAATTGTTGCTGCTTACATAGCATTAATCCCATAAATTTGTGTGTTTCGTGGTGAAAATCACGTGGAGGAAAGCTTATTCTGTTTTATGGGTGCAAAAGCATGACAGGACAGCTGGAAAAAGCAACGCAGACTTCTGGTAGAAATCCCAAGACAAGTGCAGCACAGCTTTCCATTCATGTGCTCTGTTGCATTGTTAATAGTGTGTGTACAGCATGTACTATGTCTGGTCAAGATATTGTAGCCAAGTACATCATAATTACTGCTGTACAATACTCACCATTCTTCTCTTTATTCAGGATGAGGCTGGTTTCCACTCTAACTAATCCTTCTGACATTGGCAAAAGTTTTATTTCAATCGGCATGTTGGAATCTGCGGTCACGATCCCAATAAAGCTCTTAATATATGTTAATAATGTTATGTGTGACTTGTGGATTTCGTTGGAAAAACTTATTGTTTATTTCTCCACAAGCCTCACTGTCAACCATATATTCATATGTTGATTACTTTATCTTGTTCGTTGTATAGATGGAAGGGTAATGTGTCCCAGGTAATACTTACGCGTTCTGATGCAACACAATAAAATAAACCTTCCCTTTTATATCCATATGGCTTGTATTCTAATTCCATCTAACACGGCATCTCTTTGCCGTTGATTGCTCTATTCCACATTTTCATTCACAAGTATTGTGAGTTCTACGCAAAATCCAATTTAAGTGCAAATAATTTGCCCACCCAAAAAGCTCCAAAATCTGTTTACACTCTCCTTTATTTAGTCTCCAGCTCTTTCCAACAAATATGGATCTGCACCAAATTGTCCACAACCAGCATGCATCTTCTAATATCCGTGCTACTGCCTCTACATGCATTTTTATCAAGGCCCAAAGCGCCCTGTGTTGACAAGCTCTTCAACAAGCACCAGCCCCTACGTTGTCAAGCTCTTCAACAAACACCACTGCAATTTCTGCCAGGATCAAGTAATACCTCAATGGTGCTGGGTAGTTTGAAACAAGCTTGTTACATGTCTCATGGCTGAGAATAAGCTAATCAGTCAGAGTATCAGCATGACATTCACCTTCTTGATTTGTGAGTTTACTGTGATATGATTGATATTGCGGTCTGAGGATGTCTATTCTCGTCTGTAATGATTGCAGTTTCCTCTGCTAAAAATAGAGCTGTGTAAGTATGACAGATAACAAAGAAAGCTCCCTACCAATATGTAGCCTGAAATTTGATCAATCTATGATACAACTGGGGGATGCATGGTGCGGTGGTGGCAGCAGGAAGGGTAAACGGGATAGTCGGAGTGCAAACGAAATGTATCGCAAAATTTGGTTGCCCATCCACGTCCCTTCAGCTTGTAATTCCCCATATAGAAATGTCACTGATACATCTATTTGTGCTATAAACCAGTTGTTCTTTTCTGAAAGTGTGACCATCATTCTTAAAGTCTTCTTTCTAATGACAGGTGCAAATGTTTCTTTATAATCCCTGCCATATTCCTGCGTGTTTGTTCCCCATTGTGACTTATCTTGCTTTGAATTTCAACAGGCATCCATTTTCTATTTTATAATCAAATAATCATTTACTTCTCAGTAGTTTCTTCCCTGGAGGCACATTGGATCAATCCAAATATGTTTTGTTTGGGCTTCCAACCATTTTAACCAGTATTTAGACTTTTTTGCTTACACAAGTGTCTTTTTCTTGATTCTACAACTGCCGCCATCACCAGACTTTCAATTCTTGGATCAGTTAAGAAAGCTCTAATATTACATCCTTTCTTTTTACATGTCATTTCTTTCTTTTCTCTAGCTTCTTTCTGTCTGAAACCTTTATCAATACAATTCTATAGACCCCAAAGTTTTGGAAGAACTATTGAATAAATGGGGTATTTCAAAGAGCCTACAATCAAAAGGCAAGACTCCAACTGATAAAGGTTTCAGACAGAAAGAAGCTAGAGAAAAGAAAGAAATGACATGTAAAAAGAAAGGATGTAATATTAGAGCTTTCTTAACTGATCCAAGAATTGAAAGTCTGGTGATGGCGGCAGTTGTAGAATCAAGAAAAAGACACTTGTGTAAGCAAAAAAGTCTAAATACTGGTTAAAATGGTTGGAAGCCCAAACAAAACATATTTGGATTGATCCAATGTGCCTCCAGGGAAGAAACTACTGAGAAGTAAATGATTATTTGATTATAAAATAGAAAATGGATGCCTGTTGAAATTCAAAGCAAGATAAGTCACAATGGGGAACAAACACGCAGGAATATGGCAGGGATTATAAAGAAACATTTGCACCTGTCATTAGAAAGAAGACTTTAAGAATGATGGTCACACTTTCAGAAAAGAACAACTGGTTTATAGCACAAATAGATGTATCAGTGACATTTCTATATGGGGAATTACAAGCTGAAGGGACGTGGATGGGCAACCAAATTTTGCGATACATTTCGTTTGCACTCCGACTATCCCGTTTACCCTTCCTGCTGCCACCACCGCACCATGCATCCCCCAGTTGTATCATAGATTGATCAAATTTCAGGCTACATATTGGTAGGGAGCTTTCTTTGTTATCTGTCATACTTACACAGCTCTATTTTTAGCAGAGGAAACTGCAATCATTACAGACGAGAATAGACATCCTCAGACCGCAATATCAATCATATCACAGTAAACTCACAAATCAAGAAGGTGAATGTCATGCTGATACTCTGACTGATTAGCTTATTCTCAGCCATGAGACATGTAACAAGCTTGTTTCAAACTACCCAGCACCATTGAGGTATTACTTGATCCTGGCAGAAATTGCAGTGGTGTTTGTTGAAGAGCTTGACAACGTAGGGGCTGGTGCTTGTTGAAGAGCTTGTCAACACAGGGCGCTTTGGGCCTTGATAAAAATGCATGTAGAGGCAGTAGCACGGATATTAGAAGATGC